ACCCCCCCGCCCCAACACAAACACATATACACACATATAACATATTAAGGATTGTACATTAACATATTTTATTGTAAACACTGTTGTCATAACCAAACTGAATTTAACCAGAGAAACACATATATAGATAGAGATACAGTACTGTCAGGGAAGTAGACTTTTTGCCACGGTTGCACTGGTGCTCCTAACTTTTGTGTGTGTGCGCCAAAGAAAAAAAATTTAGGCGCACCTACCAAACGCAACAAACATTAGCCCGCAAAGCCACAGTGAACAAAGCAGCATAGCTTCTGCTGAAGCCACACTTACAGGTAGAGTAACTGCAATTCTCAGAGCAGTCCACACATTTGGGAATTCTTAAGCTCCTGTGCAAGCTCTCTGGCATCCAAGTCTGATTGGCCCTGAAAAAGCAAAGCAGCGCTAAAGGCCTTACACTGTTCTGTGAACTCATCATTTGAGAGATTTGGAAATTCGTCAGTACTCCAAATTTCTCTCCCAAATTTTCCAATGTGGTAAATCTCTCTTGGACGGTAGACACCACAGCATCAACCACAACAAAAAGGTCACCTCCAAATAATTCACAATTCACAATTTTTTAGGATGGAGGCTGAAAACAAATTGTAAAATTTGTGGAAAATCCCAAAGTAACTTGCAGCATCAATAGATCCCTTCGCAACATCAGCCACAACCAAATTGAATGTATGAGCTCCACAGGGAACAAAGAGAGTTCTAGGATTCATTTTTAGGAATACTAAATCTTGCTTCTCTTGTGACGACACAATCCAAATCACAACTGACTCCTGCTCAGTCTGGCTAATATCCTGAGTGCAATCTAGAATTATGGAGAAAAACTTTGCCAGCTTGGTATCATCAACCATTGTTCAAGTGAACTTGCTACTCAACAAATCAATGAGTTTGTTTTGTACATGGTGACAGAGATAGCTGATGTGACTGTAAGTGCCTTTCTGGACACGGTTAATGTGCTCTTGCATTATGGGATCAAGCCTTGCTATGAGTTCAACTTCTTTTAGAAAATTGCCATTTGATGGAGAAAACCATGTTTCTGTGTCCCCTGGTGCTTCATTTCCTATTGCAAGAGACACTGCTTGCAATGTTGTATTTTGCGAGCCAGTTATTAGATGCTGCTCCAGCGGCCCCGCCCCTCTCCTCCCTGTGCGGTAAGCAGCAGCCACATCTCGCAAAAGAAGGACGCCCTTACTCCACACAAATGTGCGATGGAAAACCGATCGGTGCCCATGCAATCCCATGAATGATCCGCCCACGATGCCGCCCTGGGCAACGGCCCATGTCCCCCATATCAAAACCCGTCACTGCTCTGGTTGATTAGTTTATTTCCTGAATGGGAACATAACAACAGATGGCTCTCCACACCCCGCCCCACACAGCTACAGCAGGACATCTTGTAACTATTCCGCTTTACCAGAGTTTTAAATCCAACAGGTGTCAGCCACGTGCCCACTAAGCACTCGTCAGGTGATAAAACAGGTTTTATGCACATTGTGTGTGAACAATACAACTCACCTATTGCGTATCTTCAGCAGCGACTGGAGGCGATCACTGCAGCCAGGATCAAACCAAGACAGGGGGCGCTGTTTCCCCATCACACTGACATTTGAGGCAAGTTTCAGTTTTATTTGTCATATGAAAGTTCGCACTGGGTCAACATTGCAATGAAATGTCTAGTATTTATAGTACAGTAAAATATTAACAGACTAAATATATATAAATATATATATACACACATGTATAAATAAAGAAATCTTAAGAAATCTTAAAATAGAAGTGTGACCGTTGACATCTTTTGAGGGGGGAGCAACGTATTGCACATGAGATAAAGTAGCAGGAGTGAGCAGCAGTACAAACTGAGCAGTGCAAGATTTAAAGTGGCAGTTAGTACAGTATTGCACAGAGTAAGGGTTTTGATTTTTATTTAAATACTTATAAAAATGAAGTGAACAGTGCAGAGTGTAGAATCCACTTGAGAAACTGGAGGACAGCTTCTGTGTGCATCCTGTGAAGTGTGGTGTTCAGGTGTTGTAGTTGAGGTTTTTTTGAGTCTTGTAGTCCGAGCAGACAGACTCCTGTAACTGCCAGATGGTAACAAGGAGAACAGCTGGCGTGCTGGGTGGCTGTGGTCCTTGGTGATGCTGTGCGCTTTACGGAGGCACAGCTGGAGATAAATATCCCGAATGGCAGGAAGCCTCATGCCAGTGATGTGTTCTGCTGCCTTCACCACCCTCTGTAGTGATTTTCAGCTGCTGGCAGAGCAGCTTCTGTACCAGACTGTAATGCAGCTCGTCAGAAAACATTTGATCACACACGTGTAGAAATTTGAGTCTGCATTTATGCCAAACTTCCTCAGCCGCCTCAGAAAGCAGAGTCACTGCGAGCTTTCCTGATAGCAGTGCCTGTGTGAAGGGTCCAGGACAGATCCTCAGTGATG